AAAGAAATCATTTAAACCTACTTTTTAAAAGATCATATTATTTAGAGATGGCTGCAGGATATAGGACAAGATGCCTGGTTGACAGAGGTCACAGAAATAGACCTTACCTTTCACAAGACAGGGTAGTATTGCCAATGAAAAGCAGATTTGAGGACTATCTAGGAAGCAGAATCAATATGACTTAGCAACTGATCATAGCAACGATGAGAAAGATTTTCAAGGATGGTTTCTAAATTTTTGGCATATCAGTTTACTGAAAAAGAACAGCATAAAAGGGCAGTGGCTCATGGCCTGCTACCCATGTTGATGAGCTATCCAATAGAGATTTAATCAACAGCTGCATACATTGGCTAGAGACCAGAAAGCAGGCCTGAAATAAAATAGAGAATACTTCTAAGCATCCCGCACAACCACGGGATTTCCTCTTTCGCTAATTTTCCCATATATACCACCTGAATCTCTTTTTCGTCTAAGTTAAGAAGAGCAGGTAGAAGTACTATACAACAACAAATGAAAAGCTTTGTCAAAATATTTTATTTTGCTGTTTCATATGAAAATCCGTGAGGATTCATTTGCCCAGCCAGGTATCAAGGCGTGTTGTAGAGCCACAGCAACTAGGACAGTCATGCACAGCCCGAAAGATCCTGGAGTGATGTGAATGGTTTCAGGAAGCCTCAAACCCACAGAAGCAGTCCTTCACTGCCCTACAGGGTTGCTATGAGTCGGAATCGGCTTGATGGCAGTGAGTAGTTCTTATGGAAAAGGGAACACTGGTGACACAATGGACAGAGCAGTGGGCTGCTAACTGCAAATGTAAGAAAAGATGAGGCTATCTGTCCCTATAATGACTTAGTCTCATAATCCTTAAGGAAGCAGTTCAACCCTGTCCTATATAGGGTTGCTAACGGTTGGATCAATGCAATGATAGCGGGTTTGTTTTTTAAAAATTTGGGGTTATAGAAATGAAAGTGAAATTGTACCATACACCTAATACACATAAAAATTAATTCAGGATAGATTAACAGATTAAAACTCAAATGCTACAAAACCTTATGGAGGAATAAGGTTAAATAAAGACCGTAGGGCATGATCCATTACTTAAACAAGACACCAAAACACAAGTGGAAAAATAAAATTTACTAAAATGTGTACTTCAGCTCAGTAACTAAAACAGTATCAAGTCTGAAAATGCTATAATTGTGAGAAAATAGTTGCAGCACGCAATTAACAAAGGAAATATGTAAGCAATTCCTGCACTTAGGTAAGATAAACAGTGCAGTTCTGAAATATTGTTACTTGTGCATTAAGGAAAAAATTAAAAAGAGCAAACATGAAAATAATCAAACTAGCTCATCACACACAACAGGCACAGGAGGGAAATGAGCACTATCCCCCAGGTCAGGACAGAATAGCAATGGCCATCTGTCTGGAGAACAACTGGTCAGTTGTCAGGTGCCACGAGTTGGTTCTGACCCATAGCAACCTCTAAGCACCACAGAATGAAACATTGCCCAGTCCTGCGTCATTCTCAGAAATGGAGTCAGTACCTCACAAATTTCTAAGCACCCATGAAAAATACGGTTTATAGCCCTTTGATCCAGCAATTGTCCTTCCTGAAATTATGTGAAAGTTTATTTTTCACCTAAGTAAAAGATGGATAGTCAAGGATATTTGTCAGCTTTTGTAGTACCAGAAAAATGAAATGAACTGTCCAACAGTAGGTGACTGATTTATACAAACTATGTCACATGCATAAAATGGAATTTAAGAGATTCATACGCTGACAAGGAACTACCACCAAGCCAAATTCTTATTGGGGGTGGCAGAGGGAAGGGTAAGAAACACCATGGAAGAGAACAATAAAAAGGAAAACAGGTTGGAAGGAGGAGGAAGAAAACCACACCAGCCTGTCTGCAGAGTCTCTGTACAAGAATGCCAACGAAACAGACAAAAGGGGCTGCATCTGTGAAGGAGCCTCAGGGACCGAGGCTAAAAAGTTTCTCATGGAACCATCTCCAGCACCGTTAGCTGTGCTTTTAGTCAAGTACGTGTGTGTTACTGTCTTAAAAAACAAAACACCCGCTGAAAGAATTTCAGCCATTCTCAAAAACAACTAAAACAAAACTAAAGCATACCCAAATAAATGTTATGCATCTATACAGATAAATACTACATTTAGTAGTTTAAAATGGGACAAATCTGTATGTATTAATACAGAATAGGCATGGAGTTTCTTTTTGGGGTAATGAAATGTCCTAAAATTGTTTGTGGTGATGAATATGCAACTGTGTGAACATCTGAAGTCTGTGAATATACCATTTTTCAACATTAAAATTTAAATTGTGGGTGATTTGTATGTGAATTACATATAAATAAACGCATATACATAAATATAAGCTGTCATTCCTACAGGTAAGTGGTGGACAGAACACAGGCACACTCATTCCTTTACATGTTATCTATGGCTGCTAAAGATTGGAATATTTACTATCTGACCTTTTATAGAAAACATTCACCTATCCTTGAAAAAAAAAAATCTTCAGTAATTTGTATTGCATAAAACAGAATAGTAGAATAATGCAGTCAGTGTAATATCATTTATATTTAAAACAAATATAACATAATACCACATTTTTGCTTGGAGTATATGTAAGAATATCAGGCAATTTCTAGAAAGATACACACCAAAATTATACCTGTAGTTAATCTTGGGCAGGGCCAGGAGTCAGATGAGAATTGGGGGTTAATCAAATGGGCCTGTGTTTTTATTTGTCACTTTGGGGGACGGTTTCTTTTGCTTGTATGGAGAAAAGATCATAAATCTGGAGGAACTAAACTTTTTTTTTTAATTACTGAAAAGTGAAGCTGACACACAACTATTGGTCTCTGTCTGGAAAAACAGACAGACAAAAATAAACGTAAGAATCAGAGAAGGAGATGGACTATGGGACTAATTTTCTTCATGGAGCACAGCTTCTACTGTGAGACCAGAAGAACTAGATGGTACCCAGCTACCAATACTAAACATTCAGATCCAGGATAAAAAGGGAGACAAATGTGGAATACAACTTTACATTCTTAAAAGAATCCGGACTTACTGAACCTGTTGGGGGCTGGGGGAGCCCCTCAGACTATGGCCCTGAGTTGCTCTGCAAACCTTGAATTGAAACTATCCCTGGAAGTCAATTGTAACTAATAGTCTTGATCAAAAATCAAGGATTAGAACCCTGAGGTACGGCACTGACAAACAAACAAAAAGACCAATGGGAAATAGCTATATTAAAGAGAGATGACAAAGTTGTGAGCAAGGAGTTTAAGTTAAAGGTAGCGAAACAATCTGAACAGCAATAATGGGAATATTGACACAATGTGAAGGGTCCATCCAGTGGAACTATCTAGAAACATTGGAATGGGAGTGAGTTTTGCTGTGCATAGTTTTCACTCCAAAAATAAATAAACTAAAACAGACTGGCAGAAGGGAAGGACAGTCCAATGGAATAAAAAAAATGTGTGTTCTGACCTTGGTCTTAAGTTTTATGACGTACTGCCAGAATTTTAAGGTTTCTGATCCTATATCCACCTTTTAGTGTTCTCACATCTTTTCCTGGCATTCCTCTTACACTTCTCCTTCAATAACTTCACAAAACTGGGAGTGATGGTAGTTCGAGTTCTAGGGAGAAATGAGGCATGAACAAGAGTGGCAGGGAGGGATGGAAGACAGCTACACAGAAGCCACATGCCAGCAGATGGCTAGGTCCTGTCAATATAGTCAGCCATTCCTGGCAGGTTATTCCTATTTGGAGCTGGCCTTAGGACATCTGATCATTCCTAGTCTTAAATCTGATACCACCTTGCAATTAATTCATGTACACACCCATAGTACTCACATGCCCACATAATTCATATGACCCTCACCAAGTCATGCTTTGGAATGTCTAATCTTTTATGTACTTCAGGATGCAAGTAAGTCTGGCTATTCTTGTAACAAGTAGACCCTGGAAACAAAAATTAATTACTATTAATAATTTAGGACCTAGAATGGCACACATAAAATGTGAATCCAAAGTTGCTTTCTACCCTAATTATAAATAAAATGTGGGTATAATAAAGTGAGTTGACATTCAGCTGGGAAGAGGGAAATAGTCATGTATGAATATGAGAGTTTAAAATTTTTATGAGAATAGTTTTTCAAGCAAAATTATAAAATATAAAAGATCTAAACTGTACACATATAATATAAATACATAAATAAAACACCCCCCCCACTGCTGTCAAGTCTATTCTAATTCATAATGACCCTAAAGGACAGAGTAGAACTGCCCCGTAGTGTCCAAGGCAATAAATCTTTCCAGAAGCAGACTGCCACATCTTTCTTTCAAGGAGCAGCTTGTGTGTGTGTGTCTGTGTGTGTGTATACACAAATAAATGAACAAGAATATTAAACCTCAGATAACCAGTATTTATGCACAATACCTAGGAATCTTTTGTGTGATACCATGTACAATTCAAGAAAAGTTGAGTGATATAAAACAGTAAACTAAAGGAAAGCACCGACCAAAATGCAAATAACGAATAAGTGCTTTTAGGGTCACAATGTTTAAAAGGACTAGGTCTCTTAACTTAAGCCAATTAGCAACAAATAAAGTGTGTACCATTTTCTAAGTGAGGGTACCACAGTCATTTCTTCTCTTGAATTAAAAGCAATAACAAATCTAAGCGGGATTGATTAATTGGCATAAGGGAAAACCTAACTGTAATATTAATTACAGTTGCAGGGGAGGAAAAAAAGAACATGCACCAAACTGATCTTTTACACAATCTGATTTTAAATAAAACTCAGGGTAACTATACTAAATCCTCACAAGAAAGAAAAGATGTCAAGTATTACTAAAAGAAAAGCATTGAAATTTGCACACATGTACACACACACACACACACACACACACCACCACTAAATATAACTTCAAGTTTCTACTTGGGAAAAAAGATTTACTTCTCACCTCCATGTTCCAGAAATACTCGGACACATCTTTCTTTTCCTCTTGCTGCAGAGAAATGAAGGAGGGTCCATCCATTAGCATCTCGGCCATTTGGAGAATAGCCTTGTTCCAACATCTTTCGTACGGTGTGAACATCCCCAGCAGCCACAGCAGCCTGAATCTGCAATTCTTCCTGGAGCTCAGGGTTCCTTCGACAATGGTGGTGTAACATCCTAGCTAAGTCTACCTTTTACCAAGGGTTCATGAGGTCACAGGGATCAACCTGTAAAGGCAGAACACATGAAATTTAGAACTGTTGCCTGTATCTATTAAATAATATGGAATTTACTATCACTAAATCATCTAAACTTCGGTAGGAATAGTTCATACTACTAATTCATACACACACAAGGGACTTCAAAAACCCCACAGGAAAAAATCATTCTATTTTAATTCCATTTTCCACCAAATTTTTGAAGCCGACTCATCTATTAAAATCAGGACTAAATGTAAGAAATAGGTCACTCGTCTGTTAGTAGCTTCCCTCTCTAAAAAGAAAAAAATGTGGTAAAACTCTTTTAAGACATTTGTTCTAATTGTAGGTTAGATATATACTGATAATCTCATTACTGATAATAACTTATCGTGTAGAATTTCCTAGCTTAGGTCAGAATTATCACAGTTTAGCATATAACCAAATATCTTATGTTTATACACAGAAAATGGTGTCCTTATTTCACATTAATGATATAATTTTAAAAGAGCAGCTTAATACTGGAAATCATTTTTCCTCAGAGAATATTGGGAAACAAGAGATTTCCTCATAATTTCTGTGAGGAAGCAATTGTTCCTACAAGCTTGGTTATCAACTTCCACACTTCTCCCCTAGTAGCATCTTCAGGCTTTCTCTCCCACCACCCTACCCTTCCACCCTAATGGTTTGTATACATAAGTAGCAGGGTTAAAGAGGTACAATTCCGGGCAAGGCACTCACATGTCTGACTACCAACCCTCCTCACTGGTCAAGAGGGAGAATCAACATTATTCCATGTATGTGGTGTCAAGTACACATTAGGGGTAAAAAACAAACAAATAAAATGGTTCGGGGAAGGACTTTTGGGTACTTCAGCCTTGGTGCTTGGTAGAAGCACATGTAACAGAATTTTCTCATCTCAGTAAGACGACATTACCAGGGAGATCGACTAAAGGGCGGCGCCCTTTGATAGTTCGTGCCTATGGTATAAAGTGAACAACACAGAAGAGTCACCAAATCCTTGCGGACAGCCTTTCAAGTCAAGGGATGGGGGTAGTTATTGGGGTGGTGGTGAAGGGTGAGGGGTGGATTCAACAATGGATTCACACTGCTCTGGTGTGCTCTCTGCTTGCTGTTGTAAGTAATAATAGCCGATTGCCATCGCAACTGTTGTGTTCAGCCTTTGCTTAGAAGGACGAGAGACCCTAGAGGAGTCACTACGAGTCATTGGTCCTGTTTTTATCTAGTGGCCTTCTAGCTATTTAGGAATCTGGTACAACCTGTGAATACTTCACAAATTTTTTTTTTTTTACAATTTGTTTTTTAAGAAACATGATTTCCCCCTATTTCTTTTTTTACTCTCCCAAACGACACTAAAATTAAACTCTCTTGTCTTAGAAGAGTTTAAATCCAAGAACATTTTTTAAATAGACTTTTATTTGTTACTATCATTAGAAAAAATGTTGATGAATTAATCATGAATTAGTGGAAAATATTATTATATGCTCATAGCAATCACCTTCAAAGAGTTTTTCTTTAAATTGTGATCATTTAAGCATTTCAATGAAATCCACTATGTAAGGAAAATACTCAAAAAGTATCAAAGCAAAACTGAAATCCCAAACTGAATGTTGTGCTTAGTATCTAATAGTTGATGTAACATAAAAAAAATAAAAGCTAAAGAGTTTTCTTTCAAAACAGCAGCGCTAACTCTGGATCTAGTTCTAAAACTTACCTTATGGTACAATGTCCTTTCTTGTGATCAGGGAGTTGCCTAATAACCATTGTGCATGCACAGCATCATGGAGAAGGAGCTCAGTGTCTCCGGACTATAGAACCAGTGAACTTTCTTAACCTGAAGATAAGGAAAAACACCAATCAGAGAAAAATTCATCGATGAGCCTAAATTTTAGTACTATATCTATAGCTGCCAAGGTATTTTCATCTTTTTCCTGAAACTCTTTTTCAAAAAGAGTTAAGAAAGGTACAAAATGTACTCATTTGGGATTTATATGAGAATATTCATCCTTCCTTTTCCTCAGTTCAGAATATGTATTTCCAGACTTACTTCATTTGAATGACTTTTCCATTACCAATTAATCCATGTTCTAAACAGGACTAACATGAGGATGCATTCATTTATGGTGCCCAGGGTCCAAAATGGAATCTATGACAACTAAAAGATTCTATCTTTACAATTTGTTTCTTCAAAGGCCCTAAAGGATATCATAATAACTTGGGAAGCACTGTTCCTTTTGGCACACATCAAAACCCCTAAGTGGTGTCTCACCCCATACGGTGCTACCATAGAAGAAAGGCCTAGTGACCTACTACATAAAGATCACAGTCAAGAAAACTCCGTGGAGCAGTTCTACTCTGTAACACATGACATCATGATGAACTATTACCAACGTGAAGGAAACAGAGTTTTGTTTTGATTTTACATATACAACAAACTAGGTGAAACCTTTAACAAGACTTGTGCCAGCTCTCTCTCAGTTCTGAAAGAAGTCTCTCTACAACTAAATGAAAAAGCTCTTTCTCTTTGACAATTCCACTAAAGACAAGGATGTATACAAAGAAACTTACTTCCAGGAGTTAACATACATCAAAATCATCGCAGGAATTACTTATTGGGAGAGGTGTTGTCTTATCCTGGTGGTTATCAGTGTACCAAGCCTTTCTACCCCTTAAGAGTTCTTGACAAGAATAGGTTAGGCCAGCGGTTCTCAACCTGTGGGTCGTAATTATTTCACAGGGTTGCCCGATTCATAACGGTAGCAGAATTAGCTATAAAGTAGCAACGGAAATACTTTTATGGTTGGGGGGTCACCACAACATGAGGAACTGTATTAAAAGGTCGCGGCATTAAGAAGGTTGGGGACCAATGGGTTAGGCCATTGGGCACCCTGAGGTGCTGTGGGCAACTGCAGCAGTCATGGTGCTATTGGCTGCGCATGACAGTTTCTAACCAATCTTAATCTATAGAGTTCATCTGTACCCTTTCTTTTTTTCCTATTTTTTTGGGGTCCAACTTCTCCAAAGAAAGTCAAATACTTTAGCAACTTTTATTTCATAATAAAATTAGATTAAAAACTGTGCCTACTCAAAATTGGTTTTCTATCTGTAGAAGAAAACAGGACCCACACCTCATTCCATGAACAACAACAAACTCAAGATGGATCGAAGACCTAAATGTAAATCCCAGAGCTATAAAGGCCATCAATGAGAAATGGGAACCAACGTAAGGGCCTTATTGCAGGGCGTAAAGACACTGTCAACTACCGAGAAAGCAGCACACACAGCACAGAACAGCTGACGGGGACCCACTAAAAAGAAGACTAGCACAGCCAAGACTTTATTAGAAGAGCAAAAGAGAACCCACAAGGGAAAATAAATCTTCGACAACACAACGGATAGAGTACTAATCTCTAAATCCACGGAAAACACTTCAATTAAAAAAAATAGATAAGTAAACCAATTAAAAAGTAGATGTGGACATGCACAGAGAGTTCATCTGAGAGAACATCCAAATGGTCAACAAACATACGAATTGCTCACGATCAGTAGACATTTGGAAGATGCATATCAAAGCAACAATGTGATACCACTTACACCGACCATAACAGCTAAGTTCAAAAACATAGGAAACAAATGCTGGAGAGCCTGTGCAGAGATTGGAACTCTCACAGACAACTTGTGGGTCAGTAAATATGTATAACCATAGTGGAAAGCAAATGGCCCTACCTCAAACAACTGGGAATAGAAATTCAATATGGGCCAGCAATGCCTCTGCTGGGTATATACTAAGAGAGTAAGAGATACAACACAGACAGCATATTCATTTTCATCACAGCACTGTTGGCAATGGCAAGAAGCTGGAAATTACCTAAGTACCTATTACCCAAATACCTATCAGTATTTGGCATATACTGCCCAGTATTTGGCATATACACAAATGTAATACTATGCATTGCTTTAAAAAAATGAGAGAAAAAAAGAAAAAGAACCCACAAAGCAACTCATAGTATGGATTGACCTGGAAAGCATTATGCTGAGGGAACGCAGTCAATCACAAATGGTCAATATCATCGGAGAGCACTAGCATAAGGGTACAAACTGAGGCGAAGACTTGCATGCCAAACATAGCCTTTAGATGACTAAGTAGGAGAAGGTGAGGGAGGGCAGAGGAAGCAAGGAACTAGAAGGCTGACAGGTGGTGACATTTGTAAAAGGGAGGATGAAAGTCCCAGGAGAGAAGAGCACTGGAGGAGCTGAGGAGGAAGATGGCCCGGAGTCTATCGTGCCTAAAGTAAGAAAGTGCACCAGATAAAACACAATGGTGGGGGTACTGTCACAGGGTCAACGCGAGAAGAGCTTGAGGAGCAAATTAAATACAGGTGTATTGGATCATAACCCAACATATAATAAACACCAGTGATACAAATAAATGCCATCATTTTCTTTTACTGGAATAAGTAAACGAGAGACAAATCTTCCATGTAGAAGCATTCCAAAGAGCAAAGGTTTTTATTTGCCCTTAAAGATGAAACCCAACGACCCCTCCTAAAAGTGTGCCTTGTGTATAGTGTCTTCATCTCCGAGAATAAGAGGGAAAACAATGACTTTACACTGTAGAAAACAGTGTAAGCTAGACTGTGTCAGCTAGACAATCCAGGTCAACATCAACAGTGCTGTCATGTTGCTAAAATATTTACCTCTGTGGTCTTTCTCTCCAAAACCTATAACCTCAGCCTAATCAGACAAAATTGAAGGTCATTCTACAAAATATTTGACCAGCATACCCCTGAAAACTGTCAATGTCTCAAAAAATAAGGCAAGTTTCAGAAATTGTCACTGCCAACAGAGCTTAAGGACTTACAGCACGTAACTGTTCATGTGGTATGCTACATGAGAACCCGAATAAACTGCAGAACTTATTTCATAATGGTGACAAGTGTGCCATATTAATGAGAATGTTAACAGAGGGAAAACATGGGCATAGGCTATACAAAAAAAAAATATCTCTACATTATCTCTTTTTCCTATAAATTTAAAACTATACCACAGGCGCAATTAGAGTCCGCGGAACAATGCCCCCAATGGTAAGCATCAGGAATACTACACGATCACCAATATCTGGTCAGCTTTCACACGAGCTCCATGTCACAAGTGAGCATTACTAATGATGCTTCTAAATGGGGCCTCGGGATTCCCTACCTCCTCAGAAGAAATGGCCCAGCACGGTTTTACGCCTATAACTATGCTGCATTCTTACTCACTCACACAGGGTGGGCCTGCCCCTGTGTGTTTCCAAAGACTATTAACTTTTTACAGGAATTCAAAGCCTCATCTTCCTCCCTACGTTGCATTGGGGTCTCATACTTTCAATTTCACTTACATGGAAGGTTTTGGGGGCAGTTGGAGGACGACCTGAGAGCTGGAGGGTTGACGACAGGATAAACTGATTAATAATATCAAGGCATGATTTTTCCCCAAAGATAAAGCGACTACATTATACTTTCTAAGAACAAATATGTACAATTTTAACTTGTGATAACTCCTTAAGTGCTACTTCAGTAAAATAAATGAATGTCTATTGAATGCCTGAAAATCATTTGGCACTGCCTAGGCTATATGCATCAACACTAAGTAATATATATATTAAAATTTTGGAAATTCAGAACACATCAAATAATTCTGGATATCTTAAGATTATTTTTCGTTATTTTGACAATATGTAGCATGGTAAATAATAACCATAGACATAGGTTTAAAAAGACTTCCTTACATGTGTCTTTAAAGAAACACACACACAAAACACATGGTGACTAGCAGCTGTAACACTTTTAATTATGAGGGGCAATGATTTCTTACCAGAATATCTTGATAGTCCAAACATCAGACATGTAATAGATTTTCTCTTGGTAGTCTTTTATGAGAGCTGCACCTAATAAGAGTATAACTATTCATGTAGAAATAGAGGGTAACGAACATATGAAAAAACGAAAATCAACTCTTGATTAAAAGTAAATCAATGTCCACTGGTAAAGGTGCCTCTTAAAACCACAGAGAAGTCCAGACATGAGAACCGAAAAAAGTCTACTTCCTTGCAATAAGTGCAAGTCTAAAATTTGATACCTCATAAAAGTCACCTTTAGAAATAAATACGTAACTAACTAAATAAATGACTATAGTGATGGAATTCTTTATCTAACAATATGTTCATTGTAAATTTATTTTAAAACAGTGATGACTGGTGACGCAGAACTTATACTCTGAGGGTGTAATCTATACAAATCCCATCCTACATGTCATACTCAAAAAAATAAGAAAACATATATACAAGATTTCAAAATTATATAAAAATAAACTAGTTCCAACATATATTACTTTTATGTGAAAAATCTTTTAAATGTTAATATTGGCAAATTAATATTAATAAAAAATTTAAAACATATTTTGTTCATTTTTTCCCATTCTATATGGGATCAAAATTAACTATCACGCCTTCTAAGGTGTTATACTGCTACCCATATCAGAAACTATAAATTTATATAAACTCTTAGTTCAAAACTATTGTTTCCCTACAGATGCCAAGTGACCTTTTTTAGTTATAAAGAGTCTACACATTATTGCTTAAGGAGTGCAAGTGAGAACTGAGGTTCTGATTTCACAAAACTAGAAACAAGCTAACAGAGTAAACAAAGATACAGGATAGCAAGAAAATAAAATCAGCAGCTCTAATGGTAGTGGCTTGTGAGAAAGAAATCCACCAATGGATCACAAGACCTAAAAGTAAAGAGTGGTGTAGAAACACTGTTAAGACACAATCAGAGTACATAACTGTGTGCATGGCTGACATGCACTGATGAGCTTTAATTGTTTATCAAGAACTTGTAACTCATAATAGTTTTATAAGTTTTATCATTCAACAAAGTTAACATAGTGTCTATGTTTCAAATCAAATACTCCCAAACAAACTGCCAGAGTTGACTACCACTCAGTGACCCTGTAAGGAGAGGACTACCAGAGCAGCACTGAATACAGCCAGGGAGACACCAGTGCAAACTAAGTACCAGGAGAGGGAGGGAGGGAGAAGGAGAGGGAGAGGGAGTGGCCCACCAAGCCCCAAGGTCAACACTACTACTCTGAGCAGCCAAGGCAGAGAGGATTGTAGGGCCAGTCCTACAGTCTGGGGTCTGAAAGGCTTAAAGTTAAACAAGCAGCCATCTAGCAGGAAAGCAACAAAGCCCACATGGAAGAACCACACCAGCCTGTGTGATCACCAGGTGTCTACAGGATCAGGCATCAGAAGACCCCCAAACAATCATATTAATGCGAAAAAGGGGGATTGGAGTAGAGATACAAAGCCCATCTGTATACAATTGGACATACCTCACAGAAGGGTCACAAGGAAAGGAGGAGCTAGCCAAGGTGCAGTACAGCACCCATGAAACACACAACATGGCTCTAGTTCTTTAAGGCTCCCTCCCTGCCACAATCATGACCCCAGTTCTACCACACAAATCCGGCTAGACCAGAGCACGTACATTGGTACTGATAAGAGCTCTGGACACACAGAATCCAGAACAGATAAAAAAGGGGAGTTTTCACATTGAGTTTATGCTAGATGTGGTAGAATACTTTAGCAATAAATACAAATAATGATGGCACAAAAGGAACAATGTATCCAATGTCACTGAATTGTAAATGTGAAAGCTGTACTGGCTAATATTTCTGTGAGTATATTTCACCCCAGTTAAAAAAACAAAAACAAAAAAACCTCTATCTAGCAAATTCTAAGTCTTTTAAAATGCAAAATTTTACTCATGAAGACTTTTAAAATATGGCTCCAGATTTTTAAACACATTAAATCATCGCTTTATTTTTAAATTCCTGCGTGTCCAACGATTGCTAATAAAATGTTGTTTAATGTTTTATAAGTTCTGGTAGAAAATTAGAAGCCTAACAAGTGTCTTCTTCAAAGAGTTTTGGAGCCCATTCACATCTGCCTTACAGAACGACACAAAAGCCCAGACTTCATTGTACATAAGTGCTTTAGGAACAGATATATTGTTTACTGGGGAAAGACCAGATTATCTGAAAGTCATACATTTCAGTTAATTATTCTACCTTTCTCTATCAAATATTTTCCACTAAGGTAATTCAAAAGGTTTTCTAATGGAGGTCAGGCAAGAGGAGGGGTGAGTAGTAAAACTGTGGTTTAATTAAAAAGCAGCAACATTCAGAATTAACAACCAATCAACAAGGGATTGTGGAACTCCCAGGAGAATAAGGGAAGCAAGGGAAACTACAAAAAAGTCTCAAGGCCCTGAAACAAGGTACATGGCACAGAGTGTACAGAAAGCTAACGCAAACCACAGACATTCTTACTGAGACAAGGGGTAGAAATAAGTCTCTGGGCAGAGAAACCATTTAATGTTTTTGTTTTTGTTCGAAAACTGGGCTAGGAAAGGGTGCATCCCCAGGTAAACAATTTCAAAATAAAGCAATGCCTAATGAGGTCGGGGCCAGGAATAAACAATGGAGAAGAGGAGGCTGTACTCTTTACCTTTCTAATGATGCTGGTCAGAGGCACTCACTCCACCTGCTTCTTCTGTGGGGGTGAGCAGAACCCTTCCTGTTGTCTCGTCTCCTCCAACCAGCTTAAGCCTGCAGAACAGAAATGCGTGAGAGATGTAATGTGTGCCCACGAGAAGGAACGGGCACTGAGGAAGGCGAAGCAGCGGAAGGGGCTGGAGAGCGGTGAAGGGCAGCCAAGAAGGAGCAGTGGCTCTCCTCCCTCCCACCCAGTCCCTTCACCTAAAGGGACGGTTATTGACTTTACCTGCCTCCTCAGCTCCTGTTTCTTTTCCTCCTTTTAGCCTCCTCCACACTCACCAACTTCTCCATGGAAGAAACAGCCCCAGGCAGGGCCGGACACGGGTGTTCCTGATCTTTCTCGGCGCCTCACAGCCCCAGCCCGGAGAATATTCAGATAGCCGAGCAAGCTGGGAACGGCGGTCCCCTTCGCCGGGCAATCTCAAATGCAGGGGTGCTAGGAAGAAGTCTCGGGCTCCGGTGGGGAGGGGGCACAGACCCGGTCCGGGGGCTCGGTAAAGGATATTGTCGCGCTCGGGGCCAGAGGCTCCCAGCTTCTAGGAGACCCAGGCAGTTTCAGGGTAGCGAAGTCGTTGATCCTACAGAGTACCAAATGCCAGCACCAAGCAGTCCGGGTAGGGGTCTTTCGGGATGCACTTTGCACTCGGCCACCCCCGCCCCCTCCCTGAAGCACTTTGGGGTCACTGGGACGGGCCCAAGCCTACAGCAGCCAATCAGCGCCCGCACAAGATCTTTAGCACAGAGCCGTAAACCAGGTCTACGGTGGGTGGAAGTGGGGGGTGGGGGCGACTTGGTTGGTTGGTTGCTTCTTTCTAGCCTCCTTTCCCCCAGCAGCCCCCACCCCCTGGCTGCCGTAAAGCTGCCTGCTCCATCACGACAGTTCGAAGAGGCGTGCCCATCACGGCTGGGATTCGTTTCCAATTGGCCTCCCTCACTTCCACCTCGGTTTCCTCGGCTGTGGTTTCTGAAGCTCCACCCCCGGCGGAAAGACTCGAAGCCGTTGCTAAGAGATACTGGGCGCCGGAAGCTGCCAGGGCGCATGCGGTAGGAGGGGCCGGTTTGCATTTTCCGTGACGACGGTGGCCGGGTGGAAGCAGATGTACTTCCAGCGCGCCGACGCGGCTGCTTGCTCCCCTCAGCGATGAAGTGCTTTGGTGTACAGCCCAAGGAAAGCTAATACGGTTTGGGAAAGCTGCAGGAGGTGAGAAAGCGCCTTTTTCTTCTGCGCGTCTGCGATCCTCCTAACGACCAGCCTCGTGGAAGTGGCACGTCGGGCGTAGATGCGAACACTCTTTGAAAAGGCGGTGTCAGATTAAGGGCTTCCCTGCAGGGATAGCGATCCTCCCAGATTTCTGTGAATGAAGGTAAAAGGGGAGTGGGAAATGAGAGGCATAGACATAGACATCACGATTAATACATTTCAAAATTTAATAATCTATAGGCTAGACATCATTGCAGGGGCTGGAGAAACTTAGAGCACTGTTGTCGTGGTTACACGTTGGGCTGATCTGCATAGTCTGCAGTTGAAACGAGCGACTGCTCAGCAGGGGAAAGCCTATCGTAACCGCGTGTCCGAAATCCACCGGGCGCCACGGCCAGTCAGCATTGACTATGGCAGGGATCTTTGTTGGGGAAACATAGACAATAGCTTCGAGGAACATTCACTTTTAGAGAGAGAACCAAAATGAAGGCTGAATGAGGGAGGGAGAATGTGGAGCACGAGTCATTCAGAAAGAATGGCTTGGGCAAAGACTGCGAGTCCTTAAAGTGCACCGTTCCCAAGGACCTCAGACAAAATCGGGAACTTTGTGAAGTGCACACAAGTGAAAAGACGCCAAAGATTTCAGGTTTACAGGCTCCATCCAGTAAGCTCGGTGTCGTGATTTGGCCTTTATCCCGAGGAAAATGGGGAATGTTTTTAAGGAAGGAAGTCGTGTTTGGATGGGACAACAGTCGTTTAGGAAACTACACTTGTCCAGGACAGACGTAGGCAACTCTAGTGGCCGTATGTGAGATAAGGAAGGTTCATGACATGGCCCATCAACTCATGAGGTCTTCAGTCATTGTGTTCAAAGCAGCAAATTTGCCCTTGAGATGCCCTCGAAATTTGGGTGAGATACACTTACGGCTCTCCTGGACTTGTGTTCATTTTCTTCAGCTCCAACCTGAATTTATGTATGAGCAATTGATGGTCTGTTCCACAGGCAACGTCTTGTCTGATTTTAGCTCCTCTGATATTGAGCTTCTCCATCATGTTTTCTTACCGGTGTAGTCAGTTTGATTTCTGTGTATTCCATCTGGAGAAGATCACGTGTATAGTTTGTTGCCTTTTGCATTGTTGAAAAAAGGTATTTGCTGTGAACAAGTCATTGGTCTTGCAAAATACTGTCATGATCTTCAGCTTTGTTTCTATCACCAAAACTGTATTTTCTAACTACTGGTTCTTCTTTGTTTCTAACTTTTGCATTCCAATGGCCAGTAATCGCCAGTGCATCTTGATGGCATATTTGATCAAATCTGATCAAACGTTGGTAGAATTCTTCAATTTAACATTACTAGGTTTGGTGGTTGTTGTGTAGATTTGAATAATACTTATAATGAATTCATTTCCTTGTATACGGATAGACATTATCCTATCACAGTCGGCATTGTATTTCAAAATAGGATGTTTCAAAATGTCCTTTCAGATCAGTGGTTCTCAACCTTCCTAATGCTGCGACCCTCTAATACAGTTCCTTGTGTTGTGGTGACACACACCCCCCAACCATAAAATTAATTTCATTGCTACTTCATAACAAATTTTGCTACTGCTATGAATCGGGCGACCCCCAAAGGGGTTGCAACCCACAGATTGAGAACTGCTGTTTTAGATGGTGCAACGACATTCCTCTTAATTGTGACCTTCCCAGCACAGTAAACCATATGATTTTCTGATTAAAAATGGCCAATGCCGGTCCAGTTCAGCTCACTAATAACTGGAATGCTGATCTCTATACATTCCATTTCATTGTACCAACTTCCAATTTTCTTAGATCCATCCTTTGTACATCCCAAATTCTGATTATTAGTAGATTTTTGCAGCTAATTGTTTTCATTTTGTGTAGTGCCACATTGGCTCCCTCAGGATTTACTCTGTTACATTATTGTGGTTGACTTTACTTTGAGAAAGTAGCTCTTCAGTCATATTTTGAGTGCCTTCTGACCTGACAGGGTCATCTTTGGGCGCTATCTCTGATAAGTTTCTGCTCCTGTTCATAATGTTTTCAGTAACTGAAAATGCTTTCGTGGCATCCATTGAATTTCAGGGGCTATTGCCTCTGAAATGGACAGTCGGTTCCTTCTTCGTTGTCTGATTTTAGTCTGGAAGTGCCCCTGTAGCCTGTTTACTTTGAGTGAACCCGCTGGTATTTGCAATAACAGTGAGATAACTCCCGGCAGCACAGCAACACGCAAGATACCATAGTACAGTAAACTGACAGACAAATGGTAGAGAAACTGAAAGAACTCAACCGTTTTTGTGCTACATTCAGTTGAACTAGATCAGTTACTGGTTCTCCAGCTATTTCTAGTATCGTTTATGTTTCACTTTTAAATAAATTACAGTTGTAGTAAATTTTAAATAAATATTCAGGAAAATTTACAAAAAGAAGGCTAATTGAGGACTTTCAGGTCAGGATAGCTGCTTAGCCACCCATGAGACTGCTTCTGCAACACATAGGAAAACCAGTTTCGCTGAAATCTTGGAAAGCATGTGAGAGCTATGTGGATGTAGGTTTCCAAGCCCCAGACTGTAGGTGAAAGTAAAAGATTGGGAGGAAAAAGAAGACCAACTCACCCCTTTGCTATTCTGTTATTTCCCCTCCTTACCCCGCCCCCCCCCCTTTATGCTTTTGTATTGTTGTTTCTCTTATTCCATTCATGCACCACTAAACGAGTCAACTTCCCCCACCAGACCTAACTTCATTTCCTACCCCCAACACCAGCAGCTGCATTATTATGCCACAGACACACTAGTTAGTATTGGTAGGCACACTGTCGCATGCACACACATGCACACAAGAAAAACAGACACAAGCAAGTGAACGATACCTAGATCCCAAGGAATTTTCTGAAGACAATTTATCTGGAATAGCAGAGAAAGAATAAGAGTGAAAGTCAGATATTTCTAATGAATGGAGAAAGAATTAGAGAACTGCAGGCAAAATGGAAAAATTAGAAACTACAACCAAAAAATGGAAATCTAGAAGATGAATACTAAGATAAAAGAATTAGCATTAAATAACAGAATAATAAGATTGAACCACTACTTGTCTGTCAGTTTATTGTACTTTGGATTCTTGTGTGTTGCTGTGATGCCTTGAAGCTATGTCACTGGTATTTCAAATGCCAGCAGGGTCACCAAAACTAAACAGGTTTCAGAGCTTCTAAACTAAGAACAGATGCCAAAGAAGGAGTCTGTTGCCCACTTCAGAGAACCTAGCTGCTGAAAACTTTATGCATAGCTTAGAAACATTTTCAAATACGGAAGCCCTAATGAATGGAGGCAGAACATTGTCGGGGATTGTGCAGAATGGTGGTCCCAGGGGTTGGAAGGCCCTGGAGATGTGACCAAAGTAGGGTTCACCATGGTGACAGCAATGGAGCCAAGCCTGTGCGAGTGCCTTCAGAGTCTTCATTTGCTGATGAAGCACAGCTCAAGGCGAGAAGAAACAGCTGTAAAATGATTCTAATGATCAGAATTGGGAATGTGCGAAATAGGAATTTAGGAAAATTGGAACTGATCAAAAAGGAAATGGAACTAATAAATAACGTGTGTTAGGCCAGGTGGACTAGAGAAACAAATCCAGTGACACTCCTGTATGTGTCAAAAAGAACTTTATATCAAGAAGCATTATCAGGAAAATCAAGTCCATACTAGGTACTCTTCAGATTCACACAGCCACAGCAGTGATGCAGAATGCAAGAATATTACAGGCCATTGGTTGCAAAGTCGTGTGGCTCTGGCAGCCACTGGGGACTACCAGCAGGAAGGTGAAGGCAGAAAGAGGGAGAGGTTCTCAGAGCCCTTCTTATGAGAAGGCCATGCCCACAAGGAGTCACCGCAGGCTCTGGCCTGCTTAACAGGCTAAACTTCACTCTTACACTTTTATATATCTTCAAGTTGACATGAAATGATGTCAATACCACAGATCGATGTCCTAGGCATTAGTGAGCTCAAATGAACTGGTATTGGATTCCCTCAGAGGTGGGTAGATATAATCCTATATTTGATTGCATTGTATTTCAAAATAGATCTTAAATTGCCTAACAACAAGACAGGCTACATAGATTTTCCTTTGAAGCTTTTGAGGGGTCGGGGGTGGGGGTGGGGATTTTAGAAAAAAATATTAACTAGTAGAAGGAAAAATATCCCACTAAGACAGTGGTTCTCAACCTTCCTAATTCAAAATAGGATGTTTCAAAATGTCCTTTCAGATCAGTGGTTCTCAACCTTCCTAATGCTGCGACCCTTTAATACAGTTCCTTGTGTTGTGGTGACTCCCCCCCAAAACCATAAAATTAATTTCGTTGCTACTTCATAACTAATTTTGCTACTGTTAGGAATTGGGCAACCCCTGTGAAAGGGTTGTTTGACCCCTAGAGGGGTTCGCAACCCGCAGGTTGAGAACCGCTGCACTAAGATATGTAGCGTATACTCTTCCAAAGGAAAGTACAGTGAAACGGTAACGTTTACAAACTTGGTGTGTACCATTGCATGAAGGTAAATGCTATACAACATGCATACCTGAAAAATATATTAAATATATGTAATTTGTTTAATTTCAATGTTTAACGTGTAAATTAAGTTTATTTAGATATGTTCATCCCAAGTTATTTTCTACTGTTGGTTCTTTGCCCACAGAATTCCTCTATTTCTGATAACATTGGTCTGGTTTTCTGTTTATCAGAGAATGCCTTAATTTTACTGGTTGATTTAAGGGACAATTTTTCTGGGTGTATGTTTCTTAATTGGCAATATATTTGGTTTTTTTACTTCAAAGCTTTGTATATGTCATTTTAGTGCCTTCTTACCTACATAATTCTTTTTTATTATTATTAATCATTTTATTGGGGCTCATACAACTCATCACAATCCATACAT